AGATTTATTTTCGTGTATGTATTAAATTGTTATTCATAGGGGCACAGGTTCACCGTCAACAACTAAAGTTTTACCAATTAACGTTTATTGTGATCCCGTGTTTCAGACAGATTTTGTTGTTGATGTTTTAACAGCTGTCTACGAGTTTAATACTTATTTAACATTTCAATACATAATAAAGCATGTTTTCGGTGGTGATCTGTTAATCTTATCTAGTCTTTGTATTCAGACAATTTGTACAACTACACGAAAGTGTCATGGGCCTTGTGATGGACTTTTGGACTATCACAGAACCATACTATGATATGTCTTAGATTTTAAATCAAAGCTGTCCTTACATAGTTATAATGATTACGGTTTAATGACTATCCACGTGATCTTAGCTAAGTTTTATTTACGTTCTAAAGGCACATTAGCTGTCAAATTCATGCTCATCGAATAGACACAGATTCTCAAATTTGATTCATAACATACTAACACTCATATACAAAATACAAAAACTCCAAATGGAACAATTAAAAATGCATGGATTCGTTATCATGTATCAGCACTTCGTGTGTATTTTAGACTAGTCGATCGAGATGACCTCCGAGGAATGCCGATGGTCTATGACCCAATATAAATATAAATACACAGAAAAGCACGTGCACTCGTAGAAGATGACGATTTGTGTAAGTCTGCTTGATTTCATATCATAGATTAAATAATTAAGTAATTCATCGTTTTCACCTGAATAAAAAGGTTTTTCATCGGCCCCCATTCGTCCACTTTTCAATGTTGACTTTATTGTAATATTTAGTTACTGCCCATGTTTGGCACGGTGTCTTCCTCGAATGACAACATTTTATATGTGACCTATTCCTTGAACGCCAACAAAAATATTTCAGTAGATGTTTATATAAAACAATAGGTGTTTTTATAACTATTTAAATGTTTTTATAAGAATTTAACTGTTAAAATAATTAGTGAACTTGATAAAATTGCAACATTTTATCACTTTTTGATAAGAAAAAATAGTATATTTTGGGGTTAAAATTATTATGAATTTAAAGAAAATTAAAACATTTTTATTACTTTTTAAAAAAAAAAGATATTTTGGGATGGAAAATCTTTATTAACATAAGACTTATTAGAAATATTAAAGAAATTTTAGTTAAATACAATTATTTCAAACTGAAAAACGGATATTAGTCTAGAGATTTGGTGGAGAACGTCTGGTTTCAAGCTCTCCAAGACTTGGAGGATGCAGATACCTAAATCAACACCGCAAGATTTACTGACTACGTGACCGAGTAGTGGGTAGAAGGCAACCGTCATCTGTGGAACCATTACAACACTGTAGGACCAAGAACAACCAACAACTTAGAGGGGTGGCACTCAAAGATCAAGAAAATCGTCCAGACTCCACACCCAAATATCTACAAGTTGATCGAGCTGTTACAACGCCAGGAAGCTGCTTCCAGATGTCAAATGCTGCAGTACGCCGCCGGTGGTAAACGAATCAACAGAAAGATAAATGCAGAGAAATTGAGACCAGACTCGGTAACCTGAAACAGCAAAACGCCAACAGAGAGATGACAGCTGTACAGTTTGCAGACTCAGCATCGTATCTTTTACACTTGTAATAGACTGTTAAATGTGAAAAGTCCTTGTATAAACTATTCAACAACTGTTATCAGATCAAATATGTAGTGCTTTTTGTCAATCTGCTAAATGTTTGCTTATGTTATATGTATTGTTTTCTGTGTGCTCTGTGTACAAATAAATAATTTATTATTCAAAATTGATTTTTTTTCTTCTTTTTATGCTATGAAAAAAGTATGAAAATATCATCCACAACTCTACAAAGTTTCAAGAAAATCCATAAAATAGGGTAACAAGAATTCTGATGAGTTGCGAACATAACAAACACCTAAACAATGTATTATGAATCACACAATAAAAAGGGTGTAATATTATAACCAAGAAAAATATCCTGAACAACTGAACAAAATAAAACATAGTAATCTAACACGAGATACAAAGTTTCAAGAAATTCCATCAAGTAAAATGGGTGGATATTACAGCATACACAACTATAGAAATATTGAAAAAAACATCAATGTCCAAAGAGTCTATTGTAGAATTTGTGAAACTGGAATTCCTGACAAAATGCACATGTTGACTTTGTGATGCAACACTTTTCAAAGTTTCATTTTAAGAGAATCCATATTTGTTCAAGCAGTAACAGCAAAAAATGATTTTCAACAACTTGACAAACATGGACTAGATTTAGCTACCTGTAATTTACCTATCTGTTTAATTAGTATGATTGTTTTGATAAGCATGCACTTTAGTTGTGATAACTACTTACACCTATTCCTCGAACGCCAACATAATTTTACAGGTAAATTGTCGGTAGATCAAAGGATGTTGGCATTCAAGGAATAAACCGTTTGGCACATGCGTAACCCATGTTCAATTTAGGGTCAAATTGAAGGTTGCATGAATACGGATTCAAATGATGAAGTAGAATTAATGACTTGCAAGCCGATAATGCATCATCGATGTTTTTTAGCTTTTTTAAAAAAAATGAAGCAAACTCACTGCTTGTACTGAAATGTTATTTCAAAATCCATCTTTTATAAAGGATTACGGGGGAAATCATATTACATATTTTTTTGTATAAATCGTAGCTCATCGCCATTAAAAGACATTTAAAAGTTTTCCTTCTTCTACAATGAACTAATGCATTTAATTTTCTTAAATATAAATACTATGAATATTGTAATAATAATGATAATAATTTGTATAAAGAAATATAACGATAAAAAAACAAAGAAGAGCAAAATAAATAAAAAGTTTTTCCAGACATCATCTTAATATAATTACATTACATGTATGTTTTACAAGAATCCGTTAGTTTGATTGGCTTACAACAATCGCGCGTCATTCAAAAATTAACCTTCATATCAAAATAAAATGTTACATTCGTGATGACAGGTGCTTCCACAAAAAAGTGCACAGGTAAATTAAAGAAAAACCTATTAAAATCTTCCGCGCTTCATACAAAATGTGTTTCGGTCAACACTTTTACACCCCAATAAAATTACAAAAAAGAAGCATTCATTTCTTAAATGAATATAATTTATGATAACATCTTTTCGTTGCAGTTAATCATAACAACATTAAATTTTATTTACATTATCTTGAACCGTAACATCAATTCAGATAGACGGATTTTACGAAAACATTTAACGGACATACATATTTCATAAATTTCCTTTAACAAGACTAAAACTATCTAGAATAATAACACTTTAAAATTCACAAAAAGGCAGAATGTAGCAAAATAAATATAATTGTATGGGAACAATTTTGTGAGACAGAGTATCATGAAACTATCTTATAACATGACTATAGATGTCCTCACTTTACGATATATTTTTGGATTTATCCTAACTTGAGAGACTTACAAAACATCACTTAGGACCATCTAATGACATGCCTTAGTCTTAGATACCTTCGAAACCAAGGCACAATTTATAGAGACAGGTTTGACACAAGAGAACTTCCTTAGTCGAACTTTAATGCGTAACATGTCAGATAGCAGCTGGTAAATCATTTGGTCTCACGTGTAGTATACGCATAATTTTGCACGATCAGTGAAATTTTGTCAAAATCAAATGGTTGGTGCCGTTTTAATTTGTTTTTGGTAATCTTGTTCAAAGGTTAAACTGTAACCAATCGTTGACACATAATTTTTGGTACCAAGTTTTGCTAGACTAAACTCAGGATTGTTGGTCATCAACATCCGCATCGTCCTGAACATGCATGAAAGTTTTGCCACTGGTTGTTAAGCAACCAACAATCAACCAATCAACATATGCATGATATATGTTGACGTCCTTTTGCTGTCTTCCGTCAAATATCCGAAGCCTTTAACGGAACAAGCTGCAGAGTTGATTGTAAAACAAACTAATGCGGGAGCATAAAAAAAAAGAAAATAATTTATTTTTTGGAAGAAAGACTTTTGAAAGTAAATCTTCAATGGTTTGACATACGATGTATAATGATACACAATGTAACAAATGCATTCATCATGCATGCATTAATTGTTTCTATTTGTATGTATAAACAGGATCAAACAGAGGTTCCAATGGCCAAGTGACAAACTATCACATACAAAACAAGTTCATCGAGTTAAGTTTCATCGAATATTTCACGTTCGGAAGTCTCTGGGTTTACATAACCCGAATCATTCAGTCGATCACAAGGACTGACTGAGTTATTCGGGTATGGTTTTCAACATATGGTTTTTTTTCTGTTCTTTGTTTTCCAACTCTTGGTATACAATTAAATTTCAGCTTATTCAAAATGACACTTATGCCTTTTTTCTATGCGTCTTGTTAACTTCAAAAGAGGAAATTATAAATAAATGGAAAATGGGATTACTAGTATACGTTAATGATGCAGCAACCGATAACACAAGTGAAAACAAAAACATTTCTTTATTTTGAGCGGTTACAAATACCACCTACGACAAAAAAAATCCGTAGCACCTGAGATCACCCGCAGTTTTTGGCGGGGTTCATGTTGCTCAGTCTTTAGTTTTCTGTGTTGTGTTTTGTGTACTATTGCTTGTCTGTTTCTTTTTTAGCCATGGCGTTTTCAGCTTATTATCGACTTATGAGTTTGAATGTCCCTTTTGGTATCTTTCGCATCTCTTTTATTACAAATAAACTTTCTAACCATGATTTCGATTTTTCATTAAATATATTAAATGCAAAAAAATAACAGAAAAAATCCTAATAAACCATGAATTAATGATATGATATTAGTTTTTAAAAAATTGCCATAAACAGCCGAATGCATAGTTCAACTCAAATTGAATGGCTAATAACTATACGTACTTTACTAATACATGTGTATCCTCGACCTATACAAATGTACACGTATATTGAGAAGAATGGTACAAAAATTGCTATGAAATGTATATAAGTTGTTTATATAAAACTTACGAGATACATCACTATCTTCTCTTGCCATCTTCAATTCTGTGATTAGAGAAGTGTATTCCTCCATTTTTAGTAAATTATTACTTAAGAGTAAATATTTTTCAAGTGACAATCCTCATTTCTCGTTAAATCTTAAGTGATAAACACGCGCTTCGTTTACGGATTTAAATCCTCAAATATTATTGTTTCATAAAACACCGATGTACATAATTGAATAAAAAAAATGTCCAAAATAATAATTTTCCGGTTCCTAACTGAAGAAGGTACGTCAGTTTTTATTATGAGTAATATTTAATCGTGTTTTTATATCCTAATTTATAACCTATTTATTAAAGGATAATAAAATTTCGATCAGTCATTTATAATTTGTGATAATATTTATGTTATATGATTAAAATTTGTTGTTATTTCATTTGAAATCAAAATGAAACGGATCGCCGCGTATTGATTTACATAAGTAATCGATTTTACTTTTTTTTCAACTGAATTTTCACATAAAGTAGGTCCATTAAAAACAATTTAGAAATGCATATTAATGTGGACATACATTTTACGGTAAATGCTTATATTAAAATTGATGTTAAACATCGTTCTTTTGTCAATATTTATTGCTTTTAAATTATTATCTGTACTTTCATCAAACTTTCATTTATTAATGGGCTTTCCGGTCAAAATAATTCAAATGGTCTCTCTTTTTTCATTATTTCAGTCATTTAATTACTATAATCATATTTCAAAATTGATGAAAGCCAAAGTATTTGATATCTTTGAATGTGTTTACAAAGTAAATGTGTTTGCTCTAGAAGATACAAGGGGGTCTAGTACCTTTACAAAATGTATATGATCGCTAATACCTTATAATCCTTAAAACTAATAGCATCGCAAGTAGTTCTTAGTCATTTAAAAAAAAATCAGGTGCTTGAAGCATGGACTCACTTTGCCCCATTTTGTTTAATGAAATTTTCTTTCTTTTTTTAAAGTATTTCAACTGATTTCCCCTTGTTTATAGAAGAGGGACAGTTCGGATAAACTACGTTATTATAAGATTGTATGGATAAGAGCAAAGTGATGTTCTTGTGCCTTTCGTTTTATATAAATCATCGCTTCATATGTTTTTGATAATCAATGATCACCGCTACATATGTTTATTTGATTTTCAACAATCACCGCTACAGATTTCTATTATTCAACTATCATATTACATATACATCTTTGATATACCACGATCACCGTGTTTATAAATACTCATTTAGTACAATCCTGGATTATCCTAATACAAATCCGGATATCACAATTTCAACTAGAAAAAGAGAAGCGAAAGATACCAGAGGGACATTCAAACTCATAAGTCGAAAATAAACTTTTAACGTCATGGCTAAAAAAGAAAAAGACCAACAGACAAACAGACAAACAGTAGTACACAAAACACAACATATAAAACTAAAGACTGAGCAACACGAACCCCACCAAAAACTGGGGGTGATCTCAGGTGCTCCGGAAGGATAAGCAGATCCTGCTCCACATGTGGCACCCGTCGTGTTACTCATGTTAGTACAAACCCGGTAATAAGTCTTATTCGGTAGGTCACATTCGGGAAAATTGGGACGGGATTATAGCTACGACATTAGGAACATATCCGCTATCATCTGTGAAACGGATATTCCATAACGGTTAGCCAACTCGTGATGGCTTCCGTAAAACTTACGAAGGGATGATTTCAACTTCACCACTTGGAACTCTTGGTTTAATAGCTTTCTTGTGAGCAGCAACCCTATATCAAGGAAATCATGATAGAAAATACAAGCCCTGGAATATCGTATCAACTGGGAGATATATACTCCGTATGCAGGCGCTGCTGGAATGTTGCTACATAGACATGGAAAGTTCACAATTGGGAAGCTGAAATCATCTCTTTTGTCGTAAAGTTTTATTTTCAACCGACCCTCATTGTCAATTTCTAGATAGTAGATGTTGGAACTCTAGTTTGTAATGGATCTAATGAGTATAAATCGGAATTCTAATTTCTTCCAGAGTATACTGGTTTCTTCTGATTTCCAATTAGTACTGTTAGAGTGGAATAGATAAAAAGTCTGGATTAACCATAAATGTAGCTCGATAAAGGGGCCTACCCTACCTCCCCCTTAGCCCGCCTCTATCTCTCTTATACCGTGGTTTCTTATCTTTTGAATGCAAATTAAAACTAAAACAAATAAAATGATTGACTGTCGGTTGTATGGACACCATTGTAACCTAGCATCTCGCCAAAATCATTGACCAGATTTTATTTCAGTAAGTAAAAATAACTGGAAAACTTGATATTACATCAAGATTGCATTATTTCAAATGTTATTAGACTACGTTGACTTAGGATGGAGGTTCTTATCAACCGAATTAGGGTTATTCGCTGGTCTTGTTTTTGACTTTTTGTCAGCTATTCGGAATCTTCTGGTATTATCCATGTAGTCCCATTAAAAAAAATTTGCCCGCTAACCCATACTTTTCTTTTCATAATTATATTACATATAGTCTTAAAAAACCATTTGTGAAAATCTTATAAAATACTTGTTATATTTCATAGTTTGTGAAAGAAAAAAGGTGCCAATGATAAATGTATGAAAAATCTAGAGAGAATCGTTCGATCCCCACCAAATTTTCAATGGCCTATATTTCAAAAAAATAAGACACGGACCTTTCATTTTCATCTAAAATTGAGAATGGAAATGGGAAATGTGTCAAAGAGACAACAACCCGACCATAGAACAGACAACAGCAGAAGGTCACCAACAGGTCTTCAATGTAGCGAGAAATTCCCGCACCCGGAGGCGTCCTTCAGCTGGCCCCTAAACATATATATATACTAGTTCAGTGATAATGAACGCCATACTAAACTCCAAATTGTACACAAGAAACTAAAATTAAAAATAATACAAGACTGACAAAGGCTAGAGGCTCCTGACTTGTTTAGTTCCGTTATTTACATAAGGGTACTATCAATTTATACCAGTCTTTTGAAAGGTTTGTTATTTTGATACAGATAATCGAACATCCGGCAGAAATACGCAATATAAATATTCCCCATTACTTTTCTTCATACTGATAAATGATATGACTTCCACGTAAATTGTGTTACATGTTGTCATATAGGCGCCTTACTTTACTGTATTGCTTTCGCTCATTGACTATATAGATAAAAATATCAGCCTTTTTTAGGCTGAAAGTTGCTTGAAATATTCCTGTTTTTTCTATTACAGCAAGATAGAAAATACCATTGAAAGTTTCTCATCTGATAACAGATCAGCATGCATGATCTCCAGTTTTCCCTGACTAGATTAAACCATGCAGTTGCTACTAACCACAGTTTATTATATTTACCATGAAACGATTGGTCAATCGTATATAATCTTACTTTTTATTTTATACTGGAGGGAAATATCCCAGCTAATCCTGCAATTTGGTTGGTTATATTGACAGCGTATTTGAGCCCATATATCCTGTGAACAAAAACGATGATCAGCATGGTAAATAATGTTGATCGAAATCAGGACACTCCATTATAATATAATTGTTATTCGGGCTTCACAGTGGATATGGGCTCATTTTCCCTGTCAGTGCCTTATATTACCTTCGCCTGAGGCCAGGCTCACGATATATATGCACATATCCCCTATGAAAATTCTGAATAACATATAATATGTTACTCTATACTCAGAAAAATAAATTTCATTTGGATTTTCAAACGCGGTGTACTGAAATTTTTTTTACGTATTTGTTTAAGAATTTCTTCAAGAAATTGTCTGTTATTCTGTGATAGTGCTTACTATTACAAAGAAAAGAACTTCATCAAGTCTGGATATTTTAACCAGCCTTTTAATAAAACAAACTGTTTAATGTTTCACAAATAACCAATCACCCGTTGTCCCTCGTCCGGTGCTTATTCCAATATTGACGATTTTTAATTTTCGATCATCCATCATCATCATAAACTCTCTGTTATTTTCTTTGAGTCCCATTCCGACTTGAATTATCTGGTTTTTCCAACTGACCCAGAATCGAGTAAATCTTCTGCAATTTAGGAATGACCTTGTGAAGGTCACGATATTTGTCCCGCGTTTTTCAGTTCGAATGGCAGACCTTGTGTTGCCATTTAGTCCAATTGCAATTTCTATTAACGGACCTTCATCGTCATATTCTGATGTCAAGACAAGATAAACATCTGAGCAGGCTTTGACACTGAATGAGAGGAAATTCTGTTTGAAAGGAAGGTTTCCTATTTCACATCTCACCATTCTAAACTCGTACTTTTCCGGTGTTGTAAAGGTTTTGTTACCTGAAAGGTAAAAAAAATTATTAATGTAGTACCAAAACAGGCCTTCCTCTAACGTGGACTTTTTATTGACCAAACTTAATTGTAAACACACCCTATAAAGTTTTTTCCAAGTAAGACTTCCGTCGTTTTACTTTATCGAAGATTTGTTTTATAGAACTAAGTTTCGAACTATCTTTTAGTAACTGCGAGAACCTTGAGATTGGTAATATTTGTTGTTGTTGTTTTTTTTTTTTTTTTTATTTATTTATTTTTTTGTTAGTTGTCATTGTGTTTAGTATCAAAGTGATAATTAAACTTTTTTCAGCTGAATTTACAGATTGTTTTATGCTGTGATAATAAATGCCCCAATTAAAAGGGAGAAAGGATGAACCTTCACCAACACATATATACTACATGTACTAAATAACGAGGTTCAATGTGTTAGCCGGCAGGACATAAAAAAAACTATGAACAACAGACTGAACTAAAGAGTTGCAGGAATGAACGATCACTATGTCCCGTTTTTTGCAACTTTCATCGTTGACGGGACAAAAAGGATAAGTATGATAAACGTCAATGAGACAGAAAACCAAAGACAAAAATAAAGCAATTGAAAATTCATCTAAATGACAACACGCAGTCTTAAACAATATACAGATGTCTACCCAATATGTCAAGCTCAAAAACATTAAAAGTCTATAAAAGTTGTGAATACAAATTAAAAGAAACAATCAACTATCTTTGTTCTTACCTGAAGGTGATTCAAAATTGTCATAATGATTAATACTAGGTGGTGTAGGACTAGAAGATCCAAATATTAAGAATCCAGCTATTGTTAAACCAATTCCTATAAATAACCCAAGAAACAATGTAACACAAAGGTGTAGCTTTTTCTTCCATTTCCGTTTTGAACTGATGATTATTTTTGGTTCAATATAAGTATATACTCCGTTAGAATTTTCATTTAAAGCCGAATAAATATGAGGAACACTTTTCCTTGTATCTGGTACTTCGTAACCAAATTTTGATTTGACCTGAATTTCCATCCATAAGATATGTTGAACGAAATGAAGATGTGTACGAAAAAAGTTTTATTTGGTAACAATTATGAGTGAGTATTTAATTAGATTACAAATATACCAAGCTCCGGGTCAAGTGGCTGTCTCATATATATATAACATGATATAAGTTTATTTTGTTAAGTGTTTTGTTTCCTGTTTAGATACTAGCTATCATGTCACAATGGGTAATATGTTAGAGATGTCTTTTTTCCGGTAGACGTCTTCACACAAAAGAGTTACTTGGAACATTCAAAAACCGAATCATTTTCTCGTCTCTTTATACTGTATTGATGTTAACTGACGCCGTAAATAGCCTTCTACACCTGAAAACGTCCTGATGTTAGACAACGTTTTGACTCCAATATTAGCATAAGTACATTTTTATATCATTAAATGGCTATTTTTTTTTCTTTGCTTCAATTCAGTGGCGTTTCCATAGAAGCAATGAGGCAACTGCCTCACTATATTTGTTTACCAAAATGTAAAATTAGCATTTCGTAGCATAGCACGGTTCTAGACATTAGACTTCTCTTTCATTAAAGATCTACACAAGTATGTTTCTCTGTAAACGTAAGACGGAATGAAAGAAGTACTTTATCAACGTAGATACATATATCTTGTTTTAGCAAGGAACAAATAGGGGCTTTATAGTCGTTTATAAATACATATCAAACAAGAAGTTCTGTAAAACTGGCGTCATTCAGATGCTAGTTTTAAAATTGTATTGACAATATATTTGTTACAATTGATGGGCGTGTTATTCAACAGAAAGTTAACATTATATCGCCTACCCCTTCTTATTTGCAAAATATGACTCTTCGTGTCCACATAACTTATATAACTAATTAGCTTCGGTAAACTGCTAGCCTAATGCATATTCTTATTTAAAAAAAATCAATTGCAAAGCTTACATAAATTGACAAATATGTTCATTATAATATAACCTTTATTTTTAAATTGATAGCATATTTTCTTCTACATCGAAACGTTACCGAAACTGCTTGGCTGAATCTATAAATTTATAAGTGCAACATACGGCGCATTGAAAAATATTACACAAAGTCCAAGATAAAAGTTCCTTAAATCCAGATTATTCTATAGAAAAGAAATTACTGCAAATATGTTACCAATCAAAAGGGCAAACAGATGGAGATAACCCAATATTTTACACAAAATCTTAAGATGAAAATCATGATTCCAACTGTATATATATATATATATACATAGGCTTATGTAGTCCAAATAATTATGACTTCTTGACAGGCTATTACACAAGGCGTCAAAGAAAAAAGTATAATAGCCTCTCAAGACGTCATAATTATTTGAACTAAGGCCCGAAAACTCCTCCTTGTAAATAAATACAACTGTCTGCAAAAAATGTTTTTTTTTCATGATAAATGACAAGTTAACTTGTAGCCACATCCAAATGACGCCAAACATGATGTACGATATAGAAATATAGTAACCCTGAATTATTCCATCCGCATATGAAGCCTATGCCAAATGTTGGCGTCTGCAGGGCTTTTCGGTATGTTCTTCTACATACGCTGATTTTTTTTGTCAAAACGGAATATTAAATCAGATACCTCGTGTAGCGAGTGTGCTACGATATCTGTACGTTAAAGAACGTTTGCGACAGTTTATTAAGGAGTGCCTTGGTGGCATGTTGCAGGGCAGTTTTTCTTCCACTATCAAACATATCCTCTTTTCGGTGGCAGTCCGAATTTACCCTCCCTTTATCCAAGTCTACCGTTTGTATTTAGAACCTTCCTACTGCTCGGTTTATTGTTGATGTGTTCTAGTACTTAATATGCATGAAATATTTGCCACTGAACGTTAAGCAAACATTAAAAAAATCACCTTTTTGCATCTATAAATGCTGAAAATTCTTTTTGGACACTGGCTTCACCCTTGAATCATTCCCTACCTAGTAGCATTATGATCATTGACTTACATTGCCTCGGACGGACGGACAGACGGACGGGGTCGAGTGGTTACTAGTCCTGCTTTCTCCTTCGGCAACGCAGGTAAAAAAAAACAAGTCTTCAGTTTAACGGTGTCCAATCATGTAGAGACGCTAAATCATTTTGCTACATATATAGTATTAAATGTTTGTGCAATAGAAATTAACAAATGATGAAATTTTCTTTTTTTGTACATTACATTAATATACTCTCAACGACCAGTCATCTTTAGATTAACGGACTGTGTCCTGTAACCAAATGACGTATAATCATAACATTTACTGTATAGCCCGGTGAATCATTGAGATATCAAGTTCAAACGGAAATAAATTCATATTCAACATAATACCGCAACATATAAGTCATGTAAATTTTTACATGTACATATTTGGATACACTACATTAATATTACAACTACTTACTAGTAGTCTAAAAACATAGGACTTGACACACTTGTTTGCAATATCATTTTATAAGAAAATGATCTCTCAAACTGGGGTCAACTGACTGGTCTAATAAAATCTGGCGCTAATATGTTAATGTAATTAATTCACAAATTTAAACCTATAGTTTCTGAGTTACATACTAAATCGATGCGCACTTAAGGTTCATGTGGATCCAATGGCTGCGTTTTCACCTCAACATTTACTCTTGAGTACAGACAAACATGTGTATCTGGAAAAGTTTTAAGGCACAGCATGCCCTAGATACATGTAAATAAAATTTAAATATAAATAAGAAGATGTGGTATGAGTGCCAATGAGACAACTATCCATCCAAGTCACAATGTGTAATAAAAAGCAAGCAATTATAGGTCAAAGTACGGCCTTCAACACGGAGCCTTAGCTCACACCGAACGGCAAGCTATAAAGGGCCCCAAAAAGACTAGTGTAAAACCATTCAAACAGGAAAACCAACGGTTTAATTTATATAAAAAACGAGAAACGAAAAACACTTATGAACCACACCAACAAACGACAACCACTGAACAACAGACTTTTATGTTTTAGAAAATGAAAACTTAACTGGATGTTGCCGTGCACTTTTTTTTTGTTACTACAAAAGGTGCCAAAGGTGCCAAAATAAATAAAGATTGAGAATTTCCCCACAGGTAATAATTGAAGTGAACTGTATCAATTGACATGGACAATAGAGGGACAATAGATACCTGACAATAATTTGAAATTTAAATTCTGTCACTGAGTGGACCATATCAAATGAAACTCAACTGATTATTAATTTTATCATCTTCTGCAAGGACGAAAAAAAAGTGCACAGCAAAGTCCAGTTACGTTTTTAATTTTCTAACACATTAAATGCATTTGAATTTTATTTACCTACAGCATGCTATGCCTTAAAACTTTTTCAGATGCACAGGTTTGTCTGTACTCAGAGTAAATTGTGAGGTGAAAACGCCACCATGTTAACCAAAGGGTCCACATGAACCTTAAATGACAACTGGAGATGAAAGATAAATATACAGTCCTTGAAACCAATCCACATAATTATTATGACATTGTTGACCTAACGTGGTTTTGGATATCAAAAAATTTAATAAAAAAAAATACCGAGCTCCAAGGTAAATTCAAAACGGGGAAGTTTATAAAAACTGACAAAATCAAACGCTCGACTATATCAACCAACGGAACGACAGGAAAACATGTTATTGACTTGGTACAGTTATTTTCCGAAGAAAATAATGAGTAAACCTAGTTTTATAGCTAGCTAAACCTCCCACTGGTATGACAGTTGGATATAGGTTCAGGAACAGTCCTAGTCGTAAAAAACTTAACCTAACAACTACATGTAGAATGTGAGATTGAGGTCAAGGACATAAAGTTTGTCAGACAGACATATAATTTGTCTGACGGACATAATTTCCTTATAAACCAATCCAATACCATATGATATTGACCTCCCATATAAATGTACATGTTAATTCTGCAACAAACCTCATCCTTGAAACGTTACACAACAACTGGAGTGTGAAATTGAGGTCAAGGCCATATGTTAGATGGACATACACTCCTACCAACAAATCTATAATATATCAAATATTGTTGAATTCCCATATATAACTACTCGGGAGCAAACTATCATAATAACTGGAGAATGAGTTCAAGGTCAGGTGAAAATGGCTAACTGGCAATGCATCATCATGAACTATCTTCATTTTTTTGTCCTACAAAATGTGTATGAAAGGGAGGATCAGATATTGGGTTTAATCTACAAATTGTTGATGCCGCACCTGTCGACACTAGATACGTAATCGAATTTATGCCTTGCCTACATTTTCTGAGAGTCTGGGTGGGGGGTCCTTTTATTTCTGTAATTTTTAAATTTTTAGGCAATTTTCTGTATTCTTTATACTTTTAGCCCATTATTCTCTATTCTTTATATTTTAGCACCTCATTTTTCTCTTTTCCTTATTTTTAAGTCCATTTTGCTTTATTCTATATACTAGAGTTTACTGTTAATATTCAGGGGAAGTTACTTTTTCCCGAACTTTTGTTAAAGGGAAGTAATATTTTCCCGGACTTTTTCGGAACATCTCTGCAAGTACACATAAAACAAAGAAAGGGATACGATGATTTCCGAACTATTATAAAAAAGGCGCAACTTTTTCATTGCTGAAAAAAGAAAAGATCTGTTGTAGAAATAGTTTAGAGTGATTTTACCAACTTTGAGACAAACCCCCATTTAACTATCCACACTAAGAAACAAAAAGGCAACTAACTCGACGCCATCTTGCGTGCTATAAATAAATAATAAAATTGACCTACCTGGATTCCCCATCGATTTTTATGGAAAACATGCCTTTCTCGCAGTCCGATCGCAGACGTCGTTTCTATTGATCAAATTGGTACTGTTCGTAACATTTTTAGTCCATCTCAAGCATATAATAAAAAGATTTTCACTATTTTCACTAAATTCAAATTTACGTGCCCGGAAGTTTACTGTTAATATTCAGGGGAAGTTACTTTTTCCCGAACTTTTGTTAGCCTGGCAACCCGGCCCGATCTAGCTGCGCATAATACTGACATGTACTCCTTACAATCATTCTTTAAACCAAATATAGTTGACCTATTGCTTATAG